CCCCGCCCCAACTCCCATGCAGTCTGTGCATTCCTGAGAAGCCCAGTCAGAAGTTGGGGCGGGGGTGAGGGGTGGAAGGGGGCGGTGAGGAGAGAAGCAGGGTTGGGGAAGAAAGAAAACATGACTGAGAGCAAATAAAATGAATCCTTTTTCAGAGTGGATAATAAACTGTGGAGCTTGTTATCCCAAAAGGGGATGTGAAAAGAAAACAAATGGGGCCCCAGAAGTTTGGGTAAATCTGTCAGTAACAGAACCAGAAGTGGTCCCTTTTGAAAAGCTGGGATGTAAGGGGTCTGGTTGCTGTCACTCATTTCTACCAGCAGCTCCACAGACAGACTGTGTACCTCCCACATTGTTCCCCAGTGTTGATTCTCTGTGGGGACCACATCTGAGGTCTGGACCAACCCTTCCTTACTCCCTGTAGCAACTTTCATGTTCTTATGGCCAGCAGACACAAGATCAGATCACAAATAAGTAAGTTCTCTGGTATGTTAGAAGGTCGTAAATGATAATGGGGGGAAAAAATTAGAACAGGGTAAGTGGAACCTTGAGGACCAGAAAGTTGGGGGAGTGAATATGAACTTTAAATAGGGTGACTGGGAGACAGGGAGCCATGGAGCTATTTGGGGGAAGAGTGTTCCAGGTAGAAGGAATAGCCAGTGCAAAGGCCCCAAGACGAGTGCCCCTGCTTCGAGGAACCTTGACCAGGGTGGCCAGAGCGAGAGCAGATGAGAGGTGAGGTGGGGCATGGCACAGTGGGACTACCCTGTGGGCCTTAGTCAGGCTCTGGCTTTTCCTCCCAGTGAGATGGCCCTACCAGCCGTCCGGCCCCCACCATGGTTTGGAGCCTCTGAGTTCCAGCTTCCCTTGGGGACCCAGGTTTCACATTCCATACAGCCCTTAGCATCCACCTGTCCAGCCACCCTGCCGGCTTCTCTCTTCTCACACCCCAGCCCATGCGGAGATGCAAGGATGCAGGGCCCAAGCCCTGAGTTTCCCAAACAGGTGCCTGGGAAGGCCTGAGTAGATCATCCGGACCTTTCCAAGTAGTTCACATGGAATCCTCCTGTTTGTCTCCTTAATCGCTTTGGCTCCCAGAGTTAATCCCACTCTGCCCCTGCCCCCTGAGCTTCTTAAAAGGGCAAGGGGAAGGGTAGAAAGGCAGTGAGAACAGCTGGGGCTCGCCTGCTCTTGGGACAGTGTGTTTGTGGATTTTCTGCCCCCTCCAGGTCCCCTCTGGCCTTTTGCCTGTGTCTCTGCATGCCTCTCCTGGTGCATTCTCCACCCCAACCTGTGTTTGCATGGACTTTCCTCTCTGCCTCTGTCACCTCCCCCAGCTGTACCTTGCAGGGACTCAAGGGCCCATCTCCCCTGCGTGTTAGGGGAGAGTCTTGTTTCCTCTGGGCCTTTTGATAGGTCTCTTCTTCCCTCCCAGGCCCCAGCCCCACTTTGTTGTCGGTCCACTCCAGCTATAGAGGAGTGAGGCGAGCAGGAGGGCACAGGTGTCCAGGGTCCTGGGTTTCCCAGGAACTTCAAGGGGCTGAGGGTGTGGAAACCAAAGTGCTTGGCTTTGCTTTTGCCTGGGACTCCCTCCAGCCAGCTATTTCCTGCCAGCTCAAACTTCCCTCCTCCTCCAGGAAGCCTTCCTGGTTGCCCTCACGATGCCCAAAGAGTCAGTTCTGATTACGGGAGTTATCTTCATGTATCTTCATTTCTTTTTACTCTTCCACCACCCACAGTCTAAAAAGTAGGGACCCGAGTCCTGTATTACCCACCTCTGCCACCTCTGCCAAAGCTCAGGCCAGTCTGATGTTTTGGAAATGATAGGATAGAAGAGGGAAATTCTGGGATTAGAGAGCCTGTGTCAAAAGGAAAACTCGACCCCTGGGTCCCAGAGTGGATGCGCAGGGCAAAGTCAGTAGGGTTCCCAAATCCAGCTCCCCTCCCCCACCTTGCGTGTGCCCCCCTGGGAGCTTCCCCGGGCTAAACTCGGGGCCTCCCCATTTCTCTCCCACTCTCAGCTCAAGATCTCCTTCAGCGAGACAGCATTGGAGACCACGTACCAATACCCCTCCGAGAGTTCGGTGCTGGAGGAGTTGGGCCCGGAGCCTGAGGCTCCCAGTGCCCCCAGCCCCCCAGCGGCCCAACCCGAGGACGAAGAGGATGAGGAGGACCTGCTGCTGCTACAGCGGGAGCTCCAGGGCGGGCTGCGCACCAAGGCCCTGATCGTGGGTGAGCGAAAGCTCGGCCTGGCCGAGGGCACCCCCTGGTGTTCATAGCGGGCACTGCGGTCCAGGAGGGAAGGGGAGGAATTAATAACGTTGGTGCTTGGAAGAGACTTGACCTCTAGCCCCACCCGCTCCTTTACAAGTGGGGAAATCGAGGTCTTGGGAACTGAAGTGCACAAGGGGTCTCCAGATTTCAAAACCAGGACTCTTTCTGAGCGCTCTAGTGTGGTTAAAACACAGGGTTTGGGTCAGACAGGCCTGCATTTGAATTCCATCTTGTCTCTTACCTGTGGTGTATGTAACCTCCAGGAAAGCACTCACCTCTGGTCTCCGTTTATTAATTATGAAATGGGGTTAATAATAACCACCTCCTGGGGTTTACTGAGAGGGTTCAGTAATTTTTGTGAAGCACCTTGGAACTATGGCTGGACATCAAATGACTTTGCCTCATCTGGGGTTATTGTGGGATTAAACAAGTTGTAAGAAGGCCTGGCACAGAACGCAGGCTAAATGGGTGATGGCCACTGTTCCTGCAGTAGCAAGCGCTCGGCATGGAAGATCAGTGCAGAGAGTAAGTGGGGAAGATGGGGGGCAGAGGCCCTCACTCATTCTCTACCATTATTGCCTCTTCTCCCACAGATGAGTCCTGCCGGAGGTGACCCTCTTTCAACATAGGGCCTATACCCACCCTTTCCCAGAACTGAAGATCCTGGAGCCCAGAAGATTGAGAACAGAGAGATCCCGAACATGAGCTTGGCCGGGAAGAGCAACCAACATCTTCCAACTTGCTTTCCTCATCCTGTTTATGGGAGCAGAGCTAGTCACCCAGTTTCCACCCTCACCAAAGGTCCCTGGTATGAGTGTGTCAGACATGCTGGTGGCATCCGAGGTGATTCAAAAGTGAGCATCAAGTCCTGAGGAGGATCACAGTGCTCACTGGGGCTGGAGGTGGAGCACCTCCTCCATCTCCCCGGGCAGGTACACTCTCCCTTCAGCCTCCCTTGCCTCCCCACCACCCCCTGGGGGCTCTTAGGATTTAAGCACTCATCCTGGGTAGCCTGCCCCCACTCCATTTACAGGCCCCTCTCCTTCCTATTCCTTAGGCCACTGCCCCTTTGTTTACACCTCCTGCCTCCTCTCTTGACCACCAGCCTGGTTTACAAACCCCATTAGCTCCCAGCCCCACCTGCCAAAGTCCCAGGTTTACAACCATACCTACTTGTTGAGTCCATGTGGAACCCTCCCCCCTGTCCCTGGCAGTTGCCTCATTGGGAGCGTGGCTTCCTCCACTTTTGCTCAGTATTACTGTACCTCAGTTTTCCCCAAGAAGGAAGGCTGGGAATCTTAGCCCTGTACCCCCATCCAGTTATTTAATTCTGTTCCTCCTAGTGGTCCACAACTGAATTGAATTGCAAGGGTGAGGGGTGACTAACAAGGCACCTCAATTCGTCTTCCCCATTTCTCCTTCCTCATCCACTGCCTGTTTGTTTTTTAAGTTTTCCATAATAAAATGGAGATCTCTCCAACTCTCCTGCTGCTTTTCCTTCTTTAGCAAAAAAAGTGCTGGTGGGGGAGGCCGTGTGTTCCTCATTCCAAGCCTCTCCCATCTTCCTATTGGCCATGAAGAGGTAGTGGCCAGGGCTGCGGGAGGGAAAAATGATGGAGATGGAACAGGAACTCAGCGTTGACATCAAGAAAGGGCTCTGGGAGAGCCCCGTCATTGTTTCTCAAAGGACTGGCAGGAAAAGGACTGATTTGAGGGAGGGTAGGAGGAATCCGCTAAGCTGGGAGTGCCGGGCGCCTGGGTGGCTCAGTTGGTTAAGCGACTGCCTTCGGCTCAGGTCATGATCCTGGAGTCCCTGGATCGAGTCCCGCATCGGGCTCCCTGCT